ACAGCAGTCTCTTCCTGTACCAGTCAGATCCAATTTGACAGTACACACACACACACACACACACACACACACACACTTTAAAAAAATTCTTGCAGCCCCCTCAGAAGAGCAGAAGCAGTAAGGGAGCATACACCTCATTAGATCATCTCCTTTACCACTGGCCATGCCCTGGGGGGCCTGATTTCTTGGAGTATGTGGTCCCACAAAGAATCCTCTCGACCTCCAGGCATAAGTATAGGACCAAGCACACAGAAGAAACCTTACACAGGCTCCAGAGCTGGCATCTCAATGCATGCTTATCAAAACGAAGCAGGAGTCTTTAAAAGACTTTCATATAATGACTCCTGCTTCGTTCAACTACTGTACACCTACACATCTTTGGCATATCCTCAGGACTAGGGACAGAAAAGTGAACAAGACAAAAATCCCAGCCCAACTGGGACCAGCATGTAGTGAAGGGAAGTGGATCATGATGAGATTAATGCGGTGTTAAACACTGATAAGTGGTACGAATAAGCTCAAACAAGTTGATAAGGTGAAAATGGCTAGGAGGCTGGGGAGGTAACATTTAAGATCCAGGCAGAGGGACAATTTGTGGAGAGAGCATTGCAGGTAGAAGGAACTGTAAGGTCAAAAGCTTTAAGACAGGGATGAGTTTAGCTTATTCAGGCATGATGCCAATACACTTGCTCTATTCCAGACAAATTCAGAGTTAGGGATAGGTGGTGGTTGTTGTTGTTATGTGCCGTCGAGTTGCTTGCGACTCATAGCGACCCTATGTACAACAGCCCTAAACTCTGCTCTGTCCTGTGCCAATCGCACTGTCTCTGACACTTCCATCCCGATTACTCCAGTCACTGAATCAATCCACCTCATAGAGGGCCTTCTCCTCCTGCGCTGTCCCTCCGCCTTCCCAAGCATGATGTCCTAGGACCAGTCTCTCAGGTTATCTCAAAACTGAGATTTAACCAGATGCTCTGCTGGAGACGGAGGGGCAATCTCTTCCTGTACCAGTCAGATCTGATTTGACGATACACACACACAAAATAATAAAATAAATTTTTTAAAAACACCAGATATTTAAAATGGGAACCAGGTGAGTGTTCTTTTCCAACTCTTTCCCTATTTTCATCCAGTTGGAACCAACTCATAGCTGACCAAGACTGGTCTTGGGTTTCCAAGACTGAATTGCACGGCAGAAAATTGTCTTTCTCCAGCGGCGTAACTGGTAGATTCCAACACTAAGAGAGACTTCATCTTTGAGTTAACAGGGACTAGGTCGCCAGAGCTTCCTTTTCAACAGTGATAATGATAGTACATAATTGGCATCCATTTTTATCTGAAGACCATCGCGTTCTGTTTGTCAAGTGTTCAAGACGTTATTACGGGGTTATTTAGGCATTCTCATGGGCTTTTTGCGAGGAGAGAAGTGGGTGGTATCAGTTTTCAGCCAGTCCTGTGTCAATTGCCTCAGGTGGGAGAAAGGGTAGGGGGGCAGCAAGAAAGATTTGGGTGGCAGTTTGAAAAGACCTTTTGGGATACTCCAACCAACGGAAAATGAAAAAGATCCTAGATTCTTTCCAGGATCTCTGAAAACAGGAAACCTTGGATTAAAACCCCAGTTCTGACCCTCATAACCTTAACAAATGATCCCCAATAGTTCAAATCTTCTAAATAGGATTCTGTGAGATGATGCAGACAAAACCCTTAGCAAGGCGCCTAGTTCATAGTGAGCACTCTAATCACATTACGTCATAGAAACGGGAGTTAGTTCTATTAATAAACATATGCCCGGAAGGGTGATGGGCTGGAAGGACTTCCCACTACCATGCACAGAGAACTGATGCATGGATAAGGATCCATGATGCTCCATCATCCCTATCCTTAGCCCTGCCCTTTCCGAGCCATGAGTGCCGGAAATCCACACCAGCTTTTCTCTCTGTCTTTACAGGATAGGCGTGAATGAGCCGCAACCAAGGCCAGCCAGACCGGCGGTACTTCCGCAATGGCCCAAGAGAAATCAAGGCCTGGATTATTCGGGCACGGAGTTCAGGGGGCCGGACGGGGTTCACTCAGATTTAGAGATGAACTTTTAAACTCCACCCAAAGAAGTTTTCTAACACAGCCTTATCAGCTTGCGCCCCTAGACATTCTAGGAGGACAAGAGGTCAAAGATTCGAAAGCCAAGAGTAAGTGTTAATAAGCATCACTTCCATTTCCAGAAGCACAGACATTTTGCCAGACCGGATTCCACTTTTTGCCAGGATTAATGGACGGTGCAGCAGAGCCGACAGGGTGTTTGAACTCACCCTTAATATGTAAACTGGTCGTATATACAATCCTCAACAAACACAGAGGCGCTTCGGGGCACACGATAATGATGGGGTAGTTCTTAAGGGGTTACACTTGTGTGTTCTGAGACTATCCAGCAGTGAAGATGTTAATTTCTTTTCAGTAGGGAAGAATAGGGTACAACTTTGCCTGGGGTCGCCCAGTAACGAATGAGGAGGAAGCCTGGGGCCAAGAAGGTGAACGAGTGAGGGTCACATCATCTCCACCCCAGCCCCCAGCGAGGAGCGCGCGCACTACGGGTGGGGTCCTGAAGGAAAAGGGGAAAGAGAAGATTAAAGAGAAGAGAGAAGGGAGGTGGAGCGGGGTGGGAGAGAGAGCGCGCGAGCGCCCGCGTGGCGCTGAGCCAATGGGAGTAGACTCCGGCCTGGAAGGCGGGGACACACCCATGCAGGCCCCGCCCTTTTACGCCCTTTTCCCTGGGACCCGACGGCGCGAACCCAGCGGAGCTACCGCAGCACTTGCTCCAGTTTTGCCGCAGCTTTCCCCAGAAAACACTTTCTCGCCCATCCGCCACACATCAGTTCGCCTCCCCAGCTCTTCCTGGGGGAGAGGCTCTTATTGGAAAGCAAACGAGCTCTCCAACCCATGCCTGGCTCCATCATCATCCAGGCCAACGGGAAGTCCTTCCTAAGGTCTGATCCCCATCTTTCTTACTGCAGTGACCTTTTAGCTCTCCTCCTCTCCAACCTGGAAGTCTAGGCTTCTCCACTTAAGGGATGGTGAATTAGGGGAGTCCGGTGATAGATGGGGCTTCCTGAATGAGGGTGTGGATCCTCTTCACCTTACAGACTTAGAGTGCAGCCTGAGCCTGGGTCAGCATTGGGCTTTTTCTGAGCCCTCTCTCATAGTCCTGACCTGGAGGCTGGGCTCCGGGGGATTCCTGAGGACCAGTGAGCCGCCAAGACCACTAAAGCAGGACACCCCTGCTCCTGGGCATCAGAAACCTCACCCTTTGAGGTGTGAGCTTGTGACTCTCGGATTACTCCGCCTTTCTCACAGTCCACAACAGACCTCAGTGTCCCACTCTGTGCAGTGGACCCACGTCTCCCGCGCCTGCGCAGCAGCCACCAGCATCTTGTGGGGCTGCAAGGAACTAAAAATCGCTCCCGCCCACCCACAAGCTGGGCTGGACTTGAGGATCGCGGGGGGCGGGAGGGCTGGGTGGGGTGGTGTGTAATAAAGAGCAGGGAAGCTGTCTAGGTGCCGGTCCAATTAGGGCAGTAGGAGGAATCCGGGGGACAGGCGAGGTGCGAGGATGGAGAGATTCCCACGCCTGGTAAAGGGGCTCCTGAGGGGCGAGGCTGCCGCACAAACATGTTTACGGCTGCGGCGGCGCCAGAGGCCCCGAGGGGCGCCAGCCCTAGGGCAATAACTTTGCTTTGTGCCCCCTTCTAGCCTGCGGGGCTCCGGGGTGAAGATCTAGACCCCAGCCCCCTCCACCTCCAGCTGGCCACTCTCCCTTCAGGTTACCCTCGAGGGGGAACCCTCTGCTGTATTCCCTCCACCGGTTCCCGGGAGCCCCGGGTGGCGCGCGAGGGGCGGGGTCCCCAGCGCGGCGGGACGCCCCGGACACCGCGTTTCCTTCGGGCAACGTCCAGAGGTCGCGGGAGGGGTCGCCTGGGTCGACCCCGGCGCAAGTTCCACGGACCCTGCCGGGCCCCGCCCCGGGGCGCCGTCCCCTTCTCCTCCCTGCAGCCGGGAACGCCGCGTACCTGCAGCCTCCGGCGGCGGATCAGGCCAGAATCGTCCATGGCGGCGGCGGCGGCTTCGGCCCCGGGGAGGGAGGCGGGAGGCGGCGGCGGGAG